ATACTTAAATTACACCTCAAAACATATTCTGTTACTCCTCTGAATATTGAGATACCACATGCGTGTAACTTTTTCACTCTATGACCCTATTCTTTAACATATAAGATTGCACTAAAAGCTAAATTCTATAAACAAGCAAAGTACATCATTAGATACAAAAATTGTAAGATAAAATTTAAAAAAAACTAAAGTGCAGCTCTCCTAAAATAAAAGACAAAAAAACTAATATCAGTCCAGTATGTGTCTATATAATGAAATGTTGAAGCAAACAAAATAACTCCACCATGAATTATAGGTAAAATAATCTTCAAATAAATCTCCAGAAAATAGTGTAGAAAACTCCTCCAGGTGAAAAAAACACAATCAGTTCTCCAACACCAGTACCCAGATCAAAAGCTTACCAGAACAGTATGACCCTCAGAATGAGAAGTCATATAACACTTGAAAGTGATTTTAGCTCAAATCCTGAAGCAGGAAGCATTGAGACTCTTTGGAGAACCAAACTTCGTTATAAAACTTCTAGAAATAGCTTGCACAAATGATATCTTGTGGTGAAAAAGTATATCACACATAAAAATTCCCTGAAAGGATGGAATTACAATAGCAGATAAGCAATATATGACACTGAAATATATCATTTAAAAAATTACAATAGATAAACCAAAAACAGCACTTGTACCTTAAGTTAAATGAAATATAATGCATATAACAAATGTCTGAGTAAATCAAGAGTTAAATGTAGAAATTAATGCAAAAGTCTTTGCATCTCGCTGTTTTTGTTTGTATCCACTGATGCCAATTCCTCATTGTTTGTTGCACATTTCTTGATATCTGTTCCTCGGAACTCCCATCTACATGTTGAGCACTGAATGTACTGTATTTCAATGTATTGGTTTATGCCAGATGCAGGATTTCCTACATCCCTCTTGATTGTACATGTATGTGATACGAATACTGCTATATGGTCTCCGCCTGTTGATCACATACCCTGTCCCACTATTATGTAACCCTTGTTCCATTTTCTCTGTGTTACTGAATTGGAACTGAAACTTTGGCCTGTTGCCTTACAATAAAATATTTGAACAAGGAGAAATGAACGCAAAAGTCAATATTTAGTGCCCCCCATATGCTCCAGGTATCCACAAAAATGCATGCTCTTTTATATCATGTCCCAAAGAAAACACACCACACACACCAGACTGAATTGACCTCTTGCACTAGTCAAATAGTGCTTGTTGATGTAAGGTACACCAATCGATCAAGAATGGAAGTGAAGAATACTATGTTGTCAGTCAGAAAATACCACTTCTCAGTGTCCCTCCAACCGGTATTACCATGCCTTTTCAAATCCTCTCAGAGCCCTCAAATGCACATAGTAGGAATATAAAAAACAAAAGGAGAAACCGCCCATAGTGTAAAACTGCTTTATTATCTCAAACCTCAATAAAATTGCACTTACAGCATTCGACATGTAGTTGAGTATACAGAAAAGAAACAGGAAGTGCAGCTGGTTCTAAATCATTCATTCCAACAAATGATGTCACCAGAAGTCCCACCCTACGCATTTCATCATTACCATGCTGTGTCCACAGGAGCTGTTCCTGATGATTTACTTTTTCCTCTTGTTCCACTCCTCTCTGCAGAGGGCCTTTAATGCCTCCATAGGAACAGCTACTATTTCAGATCATGTCCTATTATGCTGGAGATTGACTTGGCATCTCCTCCTGAAAGTCCTGGCAGTGGAGGTTACAGGAAACTCTACTGCAGGAACAATGGTAAAAGATGAGATACCGCAGGACCTGAGTACTTTGATATAAATGATTCGCTGGAGTGTAACCCTATGGTTCTATGGGAACACATAAGTTATATATCAGAGGGACCTTCATAAAGCGAGGTATGCAATATAACAATGACGGACAGAGCAGATTGAGAGTCCCCTGAAGAAAAATACAAAGATTGTCAGTCTTGGCAGAACTCATTGCACAAAGGGAAAAAAGGCTTAAAAATTATATATATATATATATATATAATAAGATGGTGATTGCCAAACATAAAAGAATGTTTTATGAATAAGGCAACAAATGTAGTAAAATTTTAGCAAGGGCCCTTTCAGACCCGGCACATGGATATATTCCTGAAATTTTGAAACATAGAGCTAAAGTTTGAACTATGTCAGAGGTTTCAGAAGTATTTAAAAATGATTATTCTTCTTTATATAATATTGCTTTATTGGCCCCTTCTAATCATAAAATGTTGGGCCTGAAACAATACCTAGAAGAGGCAGAATTTCTCAAACTTCCTTCAAACGTTCTGACCAGTTTAGATTCGATGATTACACCTGATGAGTTCTTCAGTTATGTCCCAGATGCAGAGTGGTAAAGCTTTGGGACGAAATGGCTTTACATATTGTTCTAAAAAACATGCATGCAAGTGCTATCACCATACTTTGTTAGAGCTTTTAATGCCATAGGCTCCAGTTCTGCATTCCCAACTGAAACACTTAAAACTCATATCTCTATTATTCCAAAGGAAGGGAAGGAACCTCAGTTACTGTATATCAAAATTATAGGGCTATTTCTCCATGAGATTGTTGCCCTATATTGGGGATATCATTCATTTGGACTAGGTGGACTAGGTCAGGGATAATACGACTAAGATGCTGGCTATTGTACATGCTGCCTGCTGTAGCTCCACACCTCTAATGTTGATATGAATGGATGCAGAAAAGGCTTTCAATTGAGTACATTCGATAAAGTAAATTGAAAGTTTATAGGGGGGACATTGGCCCATTTTGTCTTGGGTAATAGGATGATGGCTTTGACTGGGGCAACATACTCCCATCCTACAGAACAGGTGAAGGTTAAGGTTAATGGAAATGTATCTGCTCCATTCCAGATTAATAATGGGACCCGCCAGAGATGCCTGTTGTCACAATTGATTTTTATTCTTAATTTAGAAACTTTTCTAAGAAGGATTAGCGCAAACCCTAGCATTAATGACCCCATTATAGGTAAATCTCTCTCTGAGACGATAGCGGCTTAAGCCAATTACCTTTTATTTTTATCATCACCCCATCGGTGACTGTACCAAATCTGTTGCAGTAAATGGAGAAATGCAGTGCCTTATCTAATTTTTGTATACACAATCAGAAATCTGGGGCATTGCATGTTTCTATTTCAGAGACAGTGGTATGCCTTCTTAAGGCTGACTTCCCGTTTAAATTAGATTAGATATTTAGGTATTAATCTACCTAAGGATGTTACTCTTACTTTTAAGCTTCACCCCCCACTTCTCTGACAGATTAAGCAAGATTTGCTTGGATGGTGTGCAGGTACCTTTTTCTCTTCAAGCAGTTGCAATATACCAAAAATGAAAGTCATGCCTCGCTTACTATACCTGTTACAAGTTCTTCCGGTTCATGCACCCTTATCTTTTCTGAAGCAGGTAAATAGAACGTTTGATCACTAATTTTTAGATTACTGAAAATACATGTGGGGATGGCTTACCCTTTTCTATTGTTAACAGGATGCATGTCATTTGACTAGGGTTCTTGATTGGTTAAAACATGACCCTCAAAAGCAGTGGGTGGCTATTGAACAGGCTATATCATTAATCCCTTTGTCCACACTTCTGTGGTGTTCATCATTTGTGCTGCAAGCTATAAAATCCCAGCCTACAGCAGGAACAAATTGAACTACTGTATGTACCAGAAAGTCTTTACTTAAAAGGATATATCACTGGCTCCTTCCCCTTTCTTTCCAGTATTGGGGAATCCCTCCTTTCACCCAGGTTTAGAAGATCCAAATCTTCAAAATCTGATGGAACAGAAATTTTGCAAGCCCAACATTTCATGGTGGATAATGAATGGCCCGATAAAGAGGTAATGGCATCGCATCCAGAATGGTCTACTCTCAAATTTCCAGCTAAGGTTCAATTGTGGCATTACCTTTCTTCACTTTCTCCAGTGTTAATGTATACACATACTCTTACTCCATTTGAACACCTCTGTGATTCCTCAGAACCTCTTTGACATCCAAACTTGTTGACCTATGGTATGCTTATTTTGTCTGCATTAAGTTCTAGACCATCATATGTTGCTAAATGAGAATGGGATCTCCAGATTTCCTTCACTCCTGAACAAATCGATAGAGTTTGTTTACACCTATAAAACCTCAATATGCTCAAGGTACCAGTAATGGGGCTTTAAAAGATAAGTTCACCTTTTTTGCAAGTTAAAAATATGTGCATTTACTATTTTTTGTTTAGGAGCCTGTAAAGCATTGCACAAACGATCAGCAGATCACTGGTGCCATGCAGATCTCCTGCAGACTGTCAGTGTAATATTTCTGTTTGTACCTCATACAAGAAGGCAGTTTTAAACTAACAGGAAGAATAAATAAACTACCACACTGCTCAACAGCACAGTGATAGTTTGTTGAGAACTACAAGCTGACAGCCGCAAAGGCCGTTGGAACGTGTAGTGTCCCATTCACAGAACTCTGTTTTTTTCAATTTGTGACAGCTAGCGGGGGGAGAAGATCTTCGCTAGTTATCATAATGGGGGATTGGGGGGGAGGGAGGGTTGGGGGCTGGTACCACAGCAGCATGTTTCATGTTACACCCTGAATAGGGTATTACGTCAACTCACCTGAATAAAATGTTACCACTTAGCTCAAATTTTTCTTGGAGATGTGGGAAATCTATTGGAGATCTGTTACATATTTTTTGATCTTGTGATAAGCTGCACCCTTTTAGGATGGAGGTTTTTCATATTACACAGAAATTGACAAAGGAGTCGCTGCAATTGGACCCTGCTCTTTCCCAGCTGCATCATCAAACATTTTACAAAGGATCTATACTCCCTTTGTTATTGTAGTTGTATCCCGGCCAGTTGGAAACAATGACAAGTTCCTTCTTTGGCACAATGGTTGGCAAAAAGAAATTAATTATATCAGATGGAAGCTTTGATAGCTATGGTCCTAATGGTATGCATTTGTATATACCCTCGAACCGATCTTAAAATTTCCACTCACCTCCTCGCATTGGTGAGTGGAAATTATGGTGGGGGCGAGTGTGTCCCCCAGGGCCGTCTTGCTGAGCAGGCTCGGAACTCAGGGCTGGCTCCGTCACTCTCACTGGGAGCCGTCAGACTGCTCAATAGTTGAGCAAAGTGAAAGCAAAGGAAGGAGTACGTGCTGTGCTCTCTGCCTCCCCCTAGAGTGCAGTACCCAGCTCTGTGAGTAAAGTACTGTACTGCAACTTTTTATAGAGCTGTGCGTGTGTATGTACATGTGTGTGTGTATGTACATGTATGTGTGTGTATGTACATGTATGTGTGTGTGTGTGTGTGTGTGTGTGTGTGTATATGTACGTGTGTGTGTTTGTACATGTGTGTGTGTGTATGTACATGTGGCTGTGTGTGTGTATACGTTTCTGTGTATGTACATGTGTGTACATGTTTCTGTGTGTGTGTGAGTGTGTGTGTGTGTGTATACATGTGTCTGTATGTGTGTGTTTAAGCATAAATGCATGGCTGGTTTGGTCAGGTTCAAGATGATGTGGTTATTATGGGTGTTAGAGGATGGGGCATTTGAGGTACTGCTGGGTTGGATAGAAGGTAGGATATGCTTGGTAGAGTTATGGTTTGGTGAGTGAGAGATTATGGTTGTATGCGGTGCATGGTCTAAGTATGATGTAGTGCTTAGGGGGACATTGGAGGCCCTAATGTAATATGAGGGGACTTTGGGGACCCTGATATAATGTGGGGTTACTTTGGGGACCCTGATATAATGCGGGTGGACTCTGGGGACCCTGATATAATGTGGGGGGACTCTGGGGACCCTGATCTAATATGGGGAGACTCTGGGGACCCTGATGCAATGTGGGTAACATTTAACAGTGTCATTTCATGAGATAATTTACGAGGGCATGTTTAGAGGAAGAATTAGGGGCGGGGCATGGTAGGGGATGGGTGGGGCAGCTGGTGGCGAACAACTCTTAAGGCCCGGCTAGTAGCTCAGGACTTGAAATTTTAAGCCCTGACCTAGATTATTAATCTCTTTAGAATATCATGTGAGGCCAGATAGACTAGGGTGGAGGTTTTTTATTTTTATTTTGTTAGTACACGTATTTGTGTGGAAATGTGTTTGGAACTGGTTATTGGGGGCTGTTTTTGTTTTTCGTTTTAGCAGGAATATACCTTGGCAATACGTATTTGGTGGTTTTCTGTGTATGGGGTGTTTTAGTTTTGTTATATAATATGAAAATTAACAAAAAAAAGAATTTTGAGAAAATAATCACAGCTCATGGATGCAAAGGGTCTCCAACTGGGAAATCCTCCACCTCACTGTACTCCCTCTCCAGTGAGGGATATATTTGGATATTCCCAGGAGGAGTACTGGGAGGATCTTTGTTATAATAAGCTGCATAGTGTTTAGGAACACTATGTCCCCTATAAGCTTCTTTTACATTACCAATATGTTTGATAAGCTGAAAAGGCCCTTGCCATCCTCCAAATGTACTGCAAGTCACAAGAGAATTGCAGCAAATACACAACATTGGTGGACGTACAGGTGATAAAACGAGTCAATTAAATAAGTCCTAGAAGTAGCTGTAGAACTAAATGTGTAATCCTTACCACATCTTATTGAATTCATTCAACATACTGAACAAGCAGCACACCAAGTAGCATGCTCCCAGCACAAAGACAGGTATGCAAATATGCGGCCCCATGGAAAAAAGGCCAGTTCCATGAGGCCGCATATTTGTGCGACGTCGGCGTCAAGGGGTTAAAATCTTTCTAATAGCAAAATGTTGAACCGAAAAAGAAGTTACTGAAGACCACATGAGGGAGGGGCAGCTGGTGTCCTGTTAGACAGAGTAGACTCCCCTAAATTTACTTTAATAACTCCATAATCAGTTGTGCAGCGAGCAAATAGAGAGGGTCCAGAACAGGCAGATCAAGTAGAAAGCCTTTTAAGCATAGTACAGAGGGGTCTTTGGCACCGCTTCCCTACACAAATTGACTGGCCTGGTAATGATAAGCCTTGGCACGGCTTATCTGATGCCGTTAGGAGGATGAAATATGAGACTGCTAGACTAGCTATAGAGTTTAGCCAGTTGCCAGATTTAATGTTATGCCCATTAACCCCTCAAGTACAAACAGGTCAGCCATTAAGGGTGGTTGCTGAATCCTTGCTACAGTTAGAAGATTTGGGGAAATGGTCTGAAAAAGGGGAACTGTGTGCTCCACGGAACCCTCAATTTTTCAGACCACAAGCTAATCAGCCCCTGAGGCATAGTAAAGGGAATCTCATGCCACGCCGTGGTGAGCTGGTCTCTGCACTAATAAAGAATGGTGTACCTAGAGAGCAGATAGATGACATGGACACAGAAAAACTTTATGCTCTGTATAAAAAGAAGGGATTGCATAAGAAAAAGGTGAATAATATGAGACAGAAACCAGACCTTCTGTTCCCATCAGCACCACCCATGGATTTGTCCCCATCTAAACTGCCACCTTTTGGGGACACAAGGGGGTTGCAGATCTTCTTTATCCGACTGTGCTGTCAGCCCCACTGCCTTCTCCTGCTCTGCATCTGTCACTCCCTAAAGCCACAGCGGGCAGTGTACTCTCTCGACCCCCAGCACCCATTGCGGTTGTAACTCCCCAGCAATTGAAAGGGTTAGAGCATAAACTTGAAATCTTAGGGAAAAGGCTGGATACTGCCTTGGATGCTCTGGCCCACTCAGGCTCTGATGCTAACAGGGAGGAGATCTTGCAACACCATAACAAAATAATTGAGGAAACCATTAAAGAGAATACCATTCATTTTAATTTACTTGACAGGCTGTTGGAAGAAGCTGAGGCTAGTGGGCAGCTAAACACTCTTTCCAAATAGGATGATGGCCAAGCCCCGCATGCCCCACGTATTCAGTAAGTAAATTCGATATATCCCCCAATTCATTTTGTTTTTAATGCTGAAACCGGCCCCCATGTGGATTTAACTATCCACTGGTGGAAAAGTGATATTTAGACAGTTATGGCACTTGTGAATACAGCAGAGGAGGCCACATTAATTTATGGAGACCCTAGAAAGCACAAGGGAATCCCAGCAGTAATCACGGGACTAGGAGGTAAGGAGATAAAAGCAGTTAGTACTGAGGTAGCATTACAGATAGGAAAAATCCCTTGTAAAAAGGACAGAGTTTTGATTGTGTCAATTAAGAAATACATTATTGGGATGGACATCCTGAGAGGTATGACCTTGCATTTAACAGATGGTTTGTTTATTGGTTTTAATAATAACATGGATGCTGGGCTGGTATTTTATCCCGGCAGACCCCGGAAACCAATGGACCAATGCTAAGGGGTGGAATGTAATGCCTATGAAATGAAAATTGGACCCTTTGGGCATCAATGCTTTATTGTAAAAATTACCCAAGAAACAGATTCCAGGAGCATGAAAAGTGACTGATTTAATTTCTCTAGGCTAAAAGAACAGAGTCACCATCAAAGCACAAGACATTAGACTGCTTAAAGCAGATAAAAACTTGTTTGTGGGATATAACGTGTTGTGACATCTAAAGATGTTACATTAGACTGCTTAAATTAGATAAGAACTTGTTTGTTCAATTAAAGATGTCTACTTGCTTGAGAAGTTAGAAATCTTTAAGTTTAGGGTAGGTAAGAAGAAATCTTTAGGTTTAGGGTAGATACGAAGCTGATCTGAAGCAAAAGTGTGATATTCTTAGATAACATTGTTTGTTCAATATAGTGGCTGGGTGTGACTCTGTTACCTTTATGGAACCTAGCTCCTCCTAGAATGGGAGTGGCACCAGCCCACTTCAGGAAAGCTGCCAGAAAAAGGGTTTAAAAACGGAAGTTAAGCACCAGCCCACTTCAGGAAAGCTGCCAGAAAAAGGGTTTAAAAACGGGGAGCTTAAGCGTAAATCAATGGGAGCCTTCCTATGCAGACGAGGACGCTCTGATGCTGGGACTCTTTCCAAGGCTATATGGGCTCATTGATGGTCGTGTTTACAGCTTCCCTGTGACCCCCTGTGCATTATGGTTCCCATGGGGTCTGTTCCTTCCCATAGCTTTGGTAATGTATTAATTCTATGCTGTGACGCTGTCAAAAGATGTTTCTTTTTCATGCTGTAATGCTCACATTATTATTGGTGTGTGTTATTATGCAAATTGTGATGACGATAAGATATATTCACCTGTGTGTCGTGTGATAATAAAAGTGAAGGTTTTGACAGTGCAAGAATATTGCAGTTGGATTCTGGTATTTTTTGGAGTGCCAAGTGAATGCTATGATGTGCCAGGGCAGGTGTTCATTTGGTAGAGGGTCTTTCACATGCTTAGAAAAATGAATGGTGTAAATGCTGGTTAAACTTACCCGTGTGTGTGTAATTGTGTTTATGTGTTAATAACTTAGGTTAAGGTTTAAATTAAGGTTTAGAGTGAAGAATGGCTGGGAGGTTAAATGGAGACACCAGGGCACTCTAAAGCACAAAATTAGTATAAAAAGTCCATGCCTTGTCTGAGTATACAGGCAAGATTATAGAATCTCAAATCAGGCAAGCCTGCACCACCTTTCACTCTTAGGGAGAGAAAGCTTCTGAAGGACAATATGTGGTTTCTTATGTCGCTACAAAATAGATAGAAAAGCAGAGTGGATTTACTGTACGTCTGAATGTTTTAACAATATGGGTATAGTTTGCATAGGATAGAGTAACCTTGCGAATGAAACCATTTTGAATAAGTGACATCTTCCAAAGTGCAAAATTAACCACTTGCCTATCGGGCATTTATACCCCCTTCTTTACCAGGCCAATTTCCAGCTTTCAGCGCTATCGCACTTTGATTGATAATTGCGCGGTCATGCAAGATTGTACCCATATGAAATTTTTATAATTTTTTTCTCACAAATAGAGCTTTCTTTTGGTGGTATTTAATCGCCGCTGGGCACTTTACTTTTTGCGCTATAAACAAAAAAATTGCAAAAAATTTGAAAAAAAAGGTTTCTTTGTTTCTATTATAAAATTTTTCAAACAGGTAATTTTTCTCCTTCACTGATGTGCGTTGGTGAGGCAGCACTGATGGGCACTGATAGGCGGCACTGATGGGCACTGATAGGCAGCACTGAAGGCCACTGATAGGCAGCACTAATGAGGTGGCACGAATAGGCGGCACTCATAGGCAGCACTAATGAGGTGTCACGGATAGGCGGCACTGATATGTGCGGCACTGATAGGCGACACTGATGATGGGTACTGATAGTACTGATAGGTGGCACTGACTGGCGGCACTGCTGGGCACTGACTGGTGGCACATCTGGGCACTGACTGGCACAACCGCTGGGCACTGACTGGTGGCAATGACTGGCAGCACTGCTGGGCTGCACTGATGGGCACTGGTGGGCACAGGTGGGTGGCACTGGTGGGCACAGGTGGGTGGCACTGGTGGGCACAGATGGGTGGCACTTATGGGCACAGGTGTGT